CCCAAACGAAGAAGTTGCTCCTTCGATCGCCAGAGAATATGAAGCGTGGCCGAGCGACAGGCGGGCGTACGACATATTGATTTTTTTTTCATTTCAGTGAGTGAATATGGTTTCTTACTTTTAAAGACGAGACATTACAAGTGACACGAAACAAAATGCTTAGGAAAGTATTTAATCTTAAGAAATAAGGAATGAACGAGCAAATTTTTATATTAAACTCTCATAAATTGGAGTATGGTGATTTGTACGGGTGACATAGTACTAAGCACGATTATTATTTTGGATATTATCCATCGTCTTTGTTATTTGTTAAAAAGTCATGACGTTTCGGAAAGAATCGGACTCTGTCGTCAGATGAAGGGAGGAGGAACCTTGTCTGGTATAAATTTGCTGGCTTTTCAGGAGTGCTTACTGTCTCTATCATTTAGACGACGATCGCCCTGCTGATGGAGGCAGAAAGAGCATTCCAGAAGACATTTATCTTCATGCAGGAGGATCGAAAAGTCACACAACCCATGACTTTTCGAACAGCCTGTATTAACCGGATTTTTTTATTTTCCACCGAAAATTGTATTTCGTGTGCAGCGTAGAAGGAACGTTATCAGATAGAGTACAAGGTGCTTTTTCCCTGCTAATCTCGTATTTATTTCTGTGAAACTGATGGAGACGAGAAGTAATGAATACTTTTACCTGGAATAACAGAAATGTCGTAGAACACTTTGTCTCCGCAGTAGTAGTCCTTTAAATTCATCAGAGGACCTCCCAAGCACGAGGCCGCCATCTCTGCAAGCAGGTATGATGACCTTGATATTTGAAAGTTTGGTTTCCGACACAATCTTAAAAATATGTAGGTAAACGTGTGGTTCTAAGATTACGGAAAACCAGTTTCTAGTTGTCTAATTTTATGTCTCCACGTTGAAGACTATTAACCAATATTATATCATTTAATTTTAATGAATTCCTCTGACACTGGTTTACAGTAAACAGTCACACAGAATGAGATTAAGCAAACAATTTTTTAATATAAATTGAAACACCTTTTTATGTAAACCGACCTTCAACGTGCTACTTAGCTGTGACAAAAAATAATATTACTTTCTCCATTCTGAAGGCCGAGGGGGTTCTCTGATACTTAGCCTGTAAAAGCACGTGAAATGAATATGTGAAAAGGTTTACATCGTTCTTACAAGACATTTGGCAACGAGATCGGATGTCCTTTAAGAGGCAAAAGAATTACTGGTATCGACCTTATTGTAAGCAGCTCCACTTACTTCAGTGGGATTCCTAGATTTTTTGCCTATGATATGCGTCAGCTTTGAGTGCCTGAGCCACAAAAGTATTTAGTTCCCCGGAGGCAAAAATTACAACCGAAGCATGTTGCTACTTTACAGCCTACATGTAATATTACCTGTAATTTAGCCTTTACGTTCATGTGTAAATGGTATAATCATATTTCTATTATTTTTTTTTTTGAAAAAAAGCAACAAATATGATTTGTCATAACATTCCGAAAATTCATTTTCGTTTCCTGACCGTGCTGTACTTAGGTCTTGCAGCCGTTTGCCTTGGCACCGGATAATTTCTTCACGTAAACAGCGCCAACGAACGGACGACAGCCTGCACAGCTGCGTCTGCAAGATGTGGCGTTCAAAGAAACTGGTCCCAGCAAAGTTAATTTAATTATCCATATCTTTAAATGTTCATATTTGTGTTAATATTGGCGAAATTTCAACATCTACAACATAATTCTTCGGAACCCTACGCCCTATTTTTAAGTTTACAATGTTAATTAGCTTCTCTCATTATCACTTGAAAGAAAACTTAAAATAGACTATGTACTCTGTGTGACTACAGAGAAGCAATGGCATATTAATTAAACACT